CAGCAGTATCGCAAAACATGGTGAATTTTTTTCAATACAACATCCCATTTAGAGTAATATGTGTCAGTTAAAACTACCTAAACAAGAAACTCAGAACATTGAAAAATTAGCTAGCGCGTGTACCCAAATGGTGTCTAGCGGTGAATGACATTCAAAAAAGGGTCTTGGGTGGTTAACGATGTTTTTAATGTTTCGGTGTAAAGGGTGCGAATGGTCCACGTGCAGCTGACACGAAGAATTACGTCATGGTCATTGTCCATTAAACTTCAGGGGGGTAAAAAAAAATTTAATACTCGCCAACATCGTGAGTTAGCACATACATTTTATCGATTAAACAGTTATCATATTGTAATGTCAATTAAAACAGCAGTGTTAGTACTGTTACAGACGGGTGTACGATCTTAATTCAACACTTTGAATTGAAAATAACGAAAAAAATATTGAAAGTTACACCAAATTTTATGGTCCGAAAGAATGTTAAAGTAAAATTGTGCGAGTTCTTTTTTTATGGGTATGATAAGCTAGAACGTAAAATGAAGCCAATAAAAATAACAATAACGGGAGAGTAAACATAACGAGGAAAAGAACTCAGATAATTGTAGTTCTTTATTATTTAAGAGAATTATTCTCTACAATAATAATAAACATGCACAAACTGCAAGTGGGTTATAACACCGCTCTATGCACATTGTATATGTACATATGAGCGTCGAGTTGGTATGTACATATATACCAACTCACACTAACAACAATAAAAACATAATGAATACAATGGCATGGCACCGTGCGTAAAAACAGCACACATACACACGTTTAAGATCGTATTGCCGAAATCCGGTGACGTCACGTTTTTGTGTTACACGTGGGGCCACGTGTAGCGAAGCGCACACGCCCAACAGTGTCACGGAGAATGGGTCGACCGCGAGAGGGCTAGGGAAGTGGGAAAACGGGGAAATGACTGTTAAAAGAGATGGCCGGTATTTTGCGAACACCGTGACGAGCGTATAAAATAAAAATAAAATAGTAATAAATAAATGGCTGGGGGGAGGGTGACCTCTTTTCATTGAGAGATATGCGCATGTATTAGTATACGCCGCTTTTACACTGAGTACAAGCACACCGAACGGAATACACGTACTCTGTTATAGATAAGTATCTAAAAGGAGTGAAACGTGTAGTTGGTACCTCGTGCGCTTCGTACCGGTGAACTTAGATCATTTCTATTGCTCTATTATTTGAAATTCTTATCGCTCATATTTTTAAATTTATTTCAAAAGAAAATTCATAATGTTATTTTCTATTATATTCGCATCAACCACACCCTTCGATTACCTATGACAGTCAATGATAAAACTGCACGCGCAATTTTTATCAACAAACAAAAAACAGAGCAAGAATTGCAACACGTCAACTATTATGATCAAGGCAATTTATAGCAATACAAAGTGCTATTTTAAGCGCTGTTATAAGAACTAAAAAATATTGTTTTTAATGTTTTAATATTTGTTCAAAACACCAAAATATACAAAAAAAAATTAAATGTGAAAACATTTTGATAACATTACATTATAACTTTTGATTCATGAACATATTTGCAATTTCAGTTTAATACTTAAAGAAAAACACTACTCTTTGAACATTGACATTAAACAAATATAATTTTCTTATTAGACAAAAAAAAAAACTTTAAACTTGTAAAATAATAAGGATGAGTCTAATCGTAGTATACAAATTTTTTTTGATATCCAATCATTTTTTTCCTGTATCAGATAATATATTAATTGTTTATAGAACTTTTGTTGAGTCTACACAAACATACAGTGGAGAAAAATTAGCGTTTTAAAAAACATATACTTCCACATATAGCATAGAAATTTCATATTTTAAAATGTAAAATTTTTTTAAATTTGAGATCAGCGACCTTTAAAACAAAAGAAAAATAGAAAAATTCAAAATATATTTTACTTAAATCGGAAAATATTAATTAAGACAATTCATTTCAGATTGTTATGCGCCGTAACCATAATTTAACTAAGGGTACGTGCTTACATCCGCAATATTTCTTTGTAATAATAGAAACTTTTCTCTATTACGGTACTGAATAGCTCTAAAACACAAAATAAGCAAAATAGAACTTAAAATACGTTATATGTAAAAATAAACAACATAAAATCAAGTGATCAATTTTTATTATATCATGTATTTAGTTTATCGGTTTCCTAAAAGAAATGTACAGCTTACGCAAGTTTCTTAGGGTCTTAAAAATATGCTAATGATAGAAGTTATTAGCCCTGATTATGATAAATATTCAATCTAGAGTAGTTTTCGTAANATGTATTTAGTTTATCGGTTTCCTAAAAGAAATGTACAGCTTACGCAAGTTCCTTAGGGTCTTAAAAATATGCTAATGATAGAAGTTATTAGCCCTGATTATGATAAATATTCAATCTAGAGTAGTTTTCGTAAAAAAATATATAGTACGAACTCAACCTAGAGGGGTAAGCTACGATGTCTAAATATTCCTCACATATATTATTTTTGGAATTTTAAGAGCATTATAACTAGAAAATTTAAACTGTCACAAAGCTACAGATGTATTTTTCTATTTAAAAATTAATTTATTCCATCAAATAACAATTTAAATGACAAGAATTTTTTTTTGAAAATATTCATACATCTATGCTATTTCTTTTTAAATTATTTAATGTTACAACATTTTTAAAATACTGACTTTTTTTATAAAAGTTTTTTGGAATTCAGATAATAATTATCATTCTTAAAATTTATTAATAATGATGAGTGTTAATATTTGTTTGACACTAAGTAGAATCTTTCTTTAATATCCTTAGATCTGTATCAATTAATTACAAAAGTGTATCACTTCAGCAAGGCATAACATGAAAACTCATACTACAAAGAGATCGATGTATCTGATTATTTTTGTCATCAAATAGTTTGCTTTTATCAATATCCTAGACAGATGTCATGTTTGTCTAAGCTGAAATATTGTCCTATATAAGATAATAAACACGTAATTGTAAAGCAGTAATTCTAGAAGAAAAACTTTATAACCGAAAAAGTACACAACTTAATGATAAAAAAACTTATTTTCGGAAAAGTGTTAATATCATGAAATTGCTAAGATAGTCGCGATACGTTTATAAGTAACGTAAATTTACAATTCTTTATTTTTAAGGACCAACAACAGACAGGGCTTGCGTGAAACAATTTTGCAGAGTTCTTAATATTTTTATTTTATAAAAAATGAACGTTTTTTTTCAGTAGAAAAAAATGATGATGACTAAAACGTCATCCTAATAGCACACCTTTAGTGAAAGTCCTGACTGCATGTCAACAAAAAATCATTGATAAGCCTTAAAAACAAAATATACGACGAAAAACTCTACTAAAAGTATACTTTTGATTCTTTAATAGGAATAGAGGATTAAATATATTTATATATTATTTAATATGTTAAATATTGAATTGAGAATTTTTCGTAAGAGAAGCTTTAAAACATATTATTTATTTATTATAATCATAAACGGGCGTGAAACCTTTAACAAAAATAGAATAAAATTAAGTTAATTATACAGTACATTAATAAACATACACAAAAACCCAAATAATAAATCACAATTTACAATTATTTACATTAGCAATATAATCATTAAATTTAAATACATCTCTTGACATGTTAAAAAAATCTACATAATTCACATACTATTTATTTGCTAAAATTATGACACGTGTAAAATAAAATGTGGAGCTATAATTTGTGGTATAGGAAAGTGAAATAATTTAGCCCTTATATTCAATGTCTAGTAACAATCCAACCATTGAAAATAGCCCCGGACTATTTACATAACCATTAAGTAAAACATATAAAAATAATTCAAAGACTATATGTAAACTCCTAAAAATTTGAAAAAAAATCTACTAACTCCAACAAAAATAACACTTCCCAAATTTTTTACTCAAATAGACTCGAATAAAATTAATTAACTACATTTACATTTACTCCTACATATCTTACAAATAGATGAGTATTTTTTTATTAGGTTTTACTATATAAAAATCTAATGGTATTATTTAAATTTTACTTAGGAAAAAACCCAATAAAATGTTTAAATTATTTTTTTTCTTTCAATTTTTGATAATGTTCTAAAAAAACAATTTAAAACTATGATAAATTAAAGCAAAAAAAAAAGTACTTTAAGATGAAAAAAAAATGATCCGAAATCACGATTTCTAGGAGTTATTGGTTATTAAAGGAAAAAAATGTTGGGGAAAAATGTTTAGTTATGTAATATTTTTCATAAAACGGAATACTTATATCATTTTAAATTATTTCAAATTAAAGTTTGTTTAAGGTAATATATGATTCAAACAAGAAAAACTTTTTTGCGATTTGTCCATGTAATTTTAGGAAATTTCAGATTTGTCGGAGGTTACTCATGTTTTGGAAGAGTCAATTTTGTCATAGTTTACAATTTCTTTTTTTTTTTGTATAGTTCTTACTGGTTTATATATATAAACTCTGCGTTCCATACCCACTCTATGTATTAAAAAGCTCGTAACTCAATAATTATTCTAAAATTGCTATTCGGCTATCGTATCATAATTTTTTAATAGAAAATGGTAAAAAATGGTCACTATACATTTTTTTTTAGACCAATAAAAAATATGCTTTTAACTTAATCTTAAACTGTAAAATCATTAAAAAAAAAAAGTAAGGCAAAATATTTAGTGGTCTAAAATATATTAAGGATGCCAGTACATGGCGAGACACTCTGATTATAAATATATACGTATATCGGAATATTTTATTTTGAATTTAGGGTCCCTTTGTTGCGTCCCCAGTTTAGGGAAGTTTTGCCAAAGCCTAGGACTAGCTAATGACTTAACATGACCCAGCTTATGACTGTATAATTTCATCTAATATTGTAAAGGGGTAAACCATGTATAAAAATAGAAGTACGAAATCGAAAATTACTCACTGTAATTCGAATTACGAGGATTAGCTGGTTGAATCTCTTGTTTAAATAAATTGCAAAGACGTGCAGGTGGCAGGGATGTTTCCTCGACTTTTTGAATTGTCATTTTCTAAAATATTAACTTTAGGTAAAAAAAGTACGTACAATTTTTTTTTTAAGCTTGCTTACTTCTTATTTGAAATATTTCGATATATTATCTTCTATCTATAGACATCGAAAACCCAAATTAAATTAGTACGTTAAATTTATATATTATTTATAATATATGAAATGTATAAAAAAATTTTAACTTTAACACATACAATAAAAAAAATGTTAAGAATGATAAGAGGACTCCTTAATTAAATATAGTTTTATATGATGTAAAAAAAATTTAAAAAGTAATGTTAAAGAAATCGTGACAAATTATAAACGCATAGGGTCTTTCTAATGAAAGAGTGTAACCAACAAGTGCCCTACAGTGAGTTTACAATGTGAGTGACTAAAGAAAGCGGCGCGAGATTGAAAAATGTGAAAACACAGAATAGCAAACATGCAGCGCGCGCGAACCTACTCACAGTTGTTACGGAGGGAGAAAAGAATAATTAATAATAATAATAATAGTGTTGATTGCTTTCAAAACTAGCCCATTTCAAAACAAAATATATATAGCCTGTTTAGTGTTCCAGTTCGTCCATAGGTACCTCGTTCCATCTCACATATTAGTATTTTGAATGGAGAGTTTTGTCATGTTAAAGTGTTATCATTATACAGAGTGAATTATTTATTATAAATCAATTAATTCATTCAAAAATAAAATAATATCCAGAATTTATTTTAAATATTTCTCTAAGGTATTTTTTTAAATTTACCAATCTTAGGGAATTTTTTATGATTATCCCTTATGACTTAAAAAGATTTCAANTGATTATATGATTTTATATGATATGATTTTATGATTATCCCTTATGACTTAAAAAGATTTCAATTTTATTTTTTCAAATGGCAACATACATAATTAACTAGTTTATTTGATTAGATTATTATCTATTAATTATAGGTCGAAAAAATAAAAGTAAAGCCTTATAATGTACTAGGGATGAATATAAAAAATACTTGATAATTGAGAAAAACATGTTAAAGAAATCAAATAAAAATTTCTCAATATTATTTTTACTTTTTTATTAATTGAGTGGTTCATGATTCCAGTGTTCAAATGAATCATTCTGTATACCGTTATCATAAGTTTGTTCAATTTGTGATATTAACTACTAACTGTTATATCTTTTATTGAATATTAATTATACAAAATTTTCATTAAAAAAATATAAAAATACTAGTACAGTTTTTTTTGCTTTTTTTTTATTTACTTTCTTCTACTTATGAAATATTTAAATAAAATTTAAATATCTGTTATTGTTTTGTAATATGTTATTATCATACCGATTTCAAATTATTTTATTTAGATCGATATAAAATAGTTTTATCTAAATTTACTATTATGAATTCTCCAGATAATGATGACTATTGGAATGAAAAGATTTCTGAAAAATTTAGCTTTGAAGATGAAGTGAGTCATAATTTTCTTTTATTTTATAGGTGTACTATTATAAAATAAGAAATAATGTGTCAAGTTCCTATTATCTTTTGTGCTTCTTTCTTCTTTTATAACTAAGATTTAAGTGGAAAATTTCGCACTTACTATATTGTTGGGTGATTAAAATGTATATAGTCAGAAAATTTAAATTGGTATGTTGACTATTTTTTTCCAAATAAGGGACTTCAGAAAGAGATTTGGGAGCTAATCCCTCCAAAAATTCAAGAGTTTTCATATTATTTGATATAATATTTTTTAGGAGGAAGGCATTATTAGTTTCAACCCAACATTTTTTTTTAACTTTCCTATGTTTCCATATTTTATTTCAAATAAAAATCTTCTGAGGTTTTCTTTCCTATTACACTTAAGGTAATATTGTGTTTTAAGCATTTTATATTGATAGTTTCACTTTCACATAATTTTTAAAAAAATTTTTTAATCAAATTTTTTTTTACTCTGATAAGAGAGATACTCAATTTTGCTAAAGAAATAGGACTCTTTGAACTTATGTAAGTGTGGCTTAGTAGGACGTCCTATATATATAACAATTTTTTTATTCATTTCTTTTAGTTAAAAATTTTTCTCAATTTATCATTCATGAATACAATAATTTTTCAAATGACAATATTTATAATTGACTTGAGTATTTAGTAGATAATGCTCTTATTAACAAAATGACTGGTTACTGGACAATTTTTGGACAAATATTTAAAAATTAATGTTTTTATATCTAGGTGAGGTAGGTAGAGTGAGGCCAAAAAATATTTAGTGATAAAAATAGTAGTACCTACTCCTCACCTCCTGAAATACTGGTTTCAAAGTTGTTATTAAACAATAATTTTAGATCATTATACAATTAATAAGCTCGTTAATTATATGTATATATTTCAATTTAAAAAATTAAAGCTAGCACCATTATAAAATTTAAGGGTAGAATATGAAAACTAAAGTTTTTTTATCGACATTTATTTATGAATATTCATAATCAAAGTATAAAAACAAATAATTAAAAAAGAAATAAATAATTGTGAGCTAAACTACATTTAGAGCAAAAAAAAAAATTATAAGACTTTTTTTGTTTTTCAGGAAAATGAAATTAATTTTAGTAAGATAACTTCCGAGTCTGGTGGTAATTTTTTTTAAATTAATTTTATTTAAAGTTTTTAATCTTCACTGTTTTAAAAAAGTATAATATTTTTTATTTATATGTTACTCTAGGTTTTCAAATTGGATTAACAAAATCAAAATTGCAAAATATAGCTTCCTTAGATACTATTGTACCACGAGAAATTCTTGACAAAAGTTAGTTTTTAATTCTAATAAATTATAAAATATGAATGTTATATAAATTAATGTACAATTTATATTTAAAATGTAATATTACTTTTAGTTTTTGATGAATCCAAAAATTTACAAACCACACGCAGTAAGCAAAAGAATATTCAGGTTGTAATCAACAATATATTAATTTTAAATAAAATCTTATTTTTTGACATATTTCTTATAAAATTACAACATAACAATAAAATGAATCAAACATTTTTTCTGCTTTATTTATGCTATCTATTTTTTTCAATTTATTTTATTGTTAAAATAAACATTTCAACAGAAAATTATATTAAAGATAATCTAAATTTAAATATTTAAACATATTAACAATTTTGATATTTGGTATTTATGTGTTACATTTGCTTAAAACCTTTACTTGTTCTAGTGATAAAATATCAGGTTGTTGCAAAAACTTAATGGTTATTTTTGTATTTTATTTTATTTTATTTTACTACCAATTAATGTATAATTGCATAACCATATAAAATATACTTTTGCAATCCCTAAAAAATCTGATGACAAATGTTACTATGTGGTTAAGAGTAAAGTTTTTTTAATAAAATAGGTGGTCATGCATTAAAAAAATATCAAAATATTTATTTTTTGTATGTAGAATTTTTCTTGTAAATATATAATAATATATATGTATTTTTCTTGTAATATTTATGTATGCAATATAAAAATTTGAACATTATTTCTCTTTGAGGAAAATGGTGCAAACTTTTTTGATGTTTTTATATGTTTTATATCCCAGAATTATAAAATCTAAAGTTACTATTTGTCAGAGTAAGAAATAAAATGAAAATTGCTAAATCAACAAAATTTGTGATACCTTAAATTTTTAAATAAAGTCACTAATTATACTAATTATACTAGTATAATTAGTATAGTATACTAACATATAATGAAAATATCATTATACTACATAAAAATGCCATAAGCAATCGTAAACTTAAAGTGGGTAAGAATTAATAGAAAAGGTTCTTAAATATTTTAAAATGTTGACATGATTTTTTACTTAAGACATTAATGAAAATCAATGTTATAATTTTTAAAAATCAATTATTTGAAACATTATTTAGAAAAATCAAGTATCCATAAAATCTACTATTGAACAAATTATGAATGCTCAACCTTACTCTTTAGAAAATTATCGTAGTCTTGAAGAAAAAAAAACTCTATTGATTGAAGCTTTAGATACTGATGATGGTAACACCATATTGACTGTGAGTTATTTTTCTTTTTTCAGTTGAAATAGTGCAATAAAGAAGTATAATTTATATTTAATTATAATGTTATTAAATTGTCTTTAGGTTGTAATATTTTTATGTAATACTCTAAAAAGAAGTATTTTTCAACGTTTTTTAAGAGAAAACCCAGTTGCTGCTACTCATTATTTAAATTATTTATTTTCTAAACAATTAATTGAAGATCTGGTAGATACATTACAGTTAGTATAGATTAATGCTAATTAGTATATAATTAATATATTTTTTTAATGACATTTTATAGAATGTTGGGAAGAACTAGAGATGCTATGGTAAAGTCCCATTTTTATTTTAAGTCTTCAATGAAATACATATGTAAAATGTTAAATAAGTTTATGCTAAATAAAATTGAAAGTATTAAAAAATTCTTACTTTAATACTTTTTTAAACATTTTTAATATTTTAAATTTAATTTTTCTTTTAATCTAATTTCATTTACTAAAGATGATGCAGTTTAAATTTGCTTGTCGAAATCCACAGAATTTTCAACAGCGTATTAATGTTTGTGCTAATTTAGCTGATGACTTTTATGACAAACAAATAATAATGCAATTTAGTACTTTAGTTGGTAATTGGAAATGTTGATTAAAACTTTTTTACTATAATAAAAGTATTAGTGTATCTTTATTAATTTAGGAAAAAGTAACTTTAATAAGGAAAATAATACCTCATCAGTGGTAAATTTAATATCTCAACATTGTAAAGATCAACAAAATATAAACTCATGCAGAATATTGGCCAATGAGTTTAATCTTAGTGCCAAACAACTTGAGGCTACATTATTAATAACTTTTTGTCAACTTCAAAATTGGATTCAAATAGACGATATGTTTATAAACAAAGTAATATAATGCATTTAAACAATTTAATGGTTTTACTTTTATAAAAGTATGAATTTAATACACAAAATTCATTTTAGAATTGGCTTGGTAAAGATAAAGTAGCCATAACATTACCTATTGGAGAAACTGTTCAATTGTTATATCATAATGGTGCACCTACTTCATCATTAACTAGATATCTAAAACTCATGAAAGATTCAGATAATCGATTAGAACTTGCTAAAAAATTCCATTGTCATCATTTAATAATTGATGTATGAAAATATAAGTAATAAGTATTAAAACTCAGCGAGATCATAATAATATGAGCTCATAACTGTCAACATTTAAGGTTTTTTTTTAATAGAAACTAGTAAAACTATTAAAAATTAAATAAAATAACTTATAAATGAGTTTAGGTACATATTAAGTTTTGATTGGTAAAATAACAGTAATAGATTTCACAAAAATTAGATAATGGTATCATCTACATTTCTGATGAAGTGTACTGTTGAATAATCTTTGACACAATAAAATATTAAATATATTTTATCGCTGTTTTGATGATTTGACTGGAAAAAGTATATTAGTAACTTCTGATAAAGTATAAATATGCATAGAGGTTTCACAGTATTTTATTTAAGATGATGTCTTGTCAGAATTTGACCTCAATAAATTTACTTTAATTCATGCATGAATGATTTAAGATTGATATACCTATAAATTAAGTTGTAAAATAAAATATCTAGTACAAAACATTTTGTATTAGATATTTTATTAGTTATTAGTAAAATTAAATTTTGTTTATAACTACTCATTTTTGTTACATTGAAACTTAATTAATAAATTATATTAATTTATAAAAATAATTAATTAATAAATTATCCCAAGTAATAATAATAATAATTATTATTTTTTAATTATTAAAAAAATTATTTTTATATTTAAAAACCAAATATATTTATATTAAATTATTTAATTTTATAGCATTAAAATCTATTATTAATATAATTCTACAATAAAATAATTATTCTCATAAAAATTTTCAGGATTTTGCTTCCAAAAAAGATCGCAGAGGTTTAATAGTTTACAAAAATAATTTACAAAAACAATCTGAAAGTTACTTTTATGCTGATACAATTTTAAAAAGTCCAGTAAGTTTACTATTTATATGTAAAAACAAATAATATTTACTTAATAATTTAATACTTAGGAAAACCATTTATGAGAAAAAATATTTTTCTGTAACAATTTTTTTTTTTTTGAATATCAAGCTGTGATAAAAGTTAAAAGCTATTTGTGTTCTTTTCTTAAGAAGTTTATTTAAAATTTGTCCCTCAGCTTTATGGCAGCATTATCAACATTTAATACACGAGCAAAAGTTTATAAATTTTTATTTTTATCTAAAACATTTTAAATATTTATTTAATATTATGAACGAGTTGTTAAGGCAATATTTTAAGTTCACCTTCCAAAACACTTTTAAACATATTAAAATTCATTCATGTTTAAGATATTAGACTATTTATTGGTGATTTATTTCATATTATGCCATCCAGAGAACATAACGTGTGAGCCCTTGTGGATAAGAAGACCTAAATAAACACAAAAATACATAGTCAAACATTAGTTCCATGTTGACAATCTAGTGCACAAATCTTTGTTTTCTACATTACTAATAAATTTTAAATGATCTAGAGATCTAAAGCCATCTACTAAAGAAAAAAAATATTTAAAAAATACGTCTAGACTTCTCAAATACGAATTTTAAAATTCCTAGACCAAAATTACTTCTATGTAAAATTAAATCACTATGTAACCTTAAAATTATTAAACTCAATAAATAAAACAACTATTACAAAATAATAACCAACTTATTCAATAATATAATTGATAAAAGTTACCCTTATTATATACATACCTATATGTCATTAAATCGAAAATGAGAGTAGGATTAAAATTATCAAGATGAATAATATACAATACAAACTTACCAAGTATATTAGTATATATACAACAGAATGAAAATCATTTGAAGCATCAATAAATACAATGATAAAAACAAAAAATAAAACAACACATTATTATAATGATTTATTAAGTTTAATAAATGCAATAAATAATTCTTAATCAAAAAATTATTAGTATAACATGTACAATAAATTATAGATGTAAACCTTTATATTTCTATAATGAAGACTGCTACTTTATATACCAAGAATACTGGCATAGACAAGTAATATACTAAGTAATTTTTTCATGATTTTTGTTATTTAAATAAAAAGTCATAATTTTCAAAAACAATTATTTTTATTTTTAGGTAAAATTAAACTTTTACACATAAAATCCCAGTTTTCATACTTATACTACTCTATATAGATAAATGTTTATAGTACACAAATAATAAAAATATTTTTTTAAAGCTTGTGAAAAATTCTAAGTTATATTTTCTTTATTCCCTTCTCCCAATTTTAAATTATGTCAATGTAGATTGGAAAAAAAGTTTGAAAATTGATTTTTGTTTTCTGATATTTAAATATTTTAGGGTTAAAAAAAAGTCACATACTTTTTGTGACATCTTATGATAGATTTAAAAATCTTTCATATAATCCAAATTTGGAATAATCACAATTTTTTTGACTTTGTTGTAATGCTATGAACTATAGATAAAAAAAAGAGGTTGGGTGGCAAACTTTTCATTGGCAACAGTGTATATAAATATCGATAATAATTAAATTTTATTTAATAATTTAGTTATTATAATAATTTATCAATTAATAAATTATTTAATTATTTTAGCGCTGAAATTACTTGATATTAAATATAATTTTTTTCAGAATATCAAATGGAAAAATTGACACAACAAGTCATAAACCTTATAAGATGCTAAAATATTTTTAAATAAAACATAGGAATGATTGTTAATAAAAGTATTGTTATTATTGAATTAATAAAATTATGAAATTAGTATTTTTATAATTGTTGTAATTATTCTTACGTATACCTACCTGCTTTGTGTAGATAGCTATTTTCATATGGGCACTAAAAATCGTAGAGCTTGGTGCAAAATAATTTGTCGATACATTTTTGTAGTAAAAAGTATTAAAGAAACCTTTGAATCATGAAACCTCGAGAGGAGTTCCACTTCGTACACTCCAATGCTTTTCTATTCCTTTTACTCACACGTGCGTGTCCTAGGAAGAAAAATGTAATACAAAGGAATATAACAGTTTGTGCTGACATTTGCAAAATTATGTTAGTCATCCTCACACTAAGCATAGCAAAACAAAGAAAGTCTACTTCTTTCTCATTTTTCTTATGATACAAAAGTTGAATAACGAATAAAATATCATAATTTTCTATGTTATTATAATTTAACTAAGTTTTAGACGTCTGTTGCAGCCGGCCAATAATACGCAAGCATTCCATCAGTAGTACTATGTTTTTTTTTTATTTGTTGAATAATTTAATTAACAACATATTATTGAGATTGACAAACAAACCTAAGATTATTAAATTACCATTGTAAAGCTAATTACTATATTGTTATACATATATCATCGAGAGAGTCTAATTTATCGATAATAATTATTGTGTGAATAAAGAGTGAGTTAGTTATTATATAAATATCGTAGTTATTATTGTTGATTTTTATATTTTATTATTTCTTTTTAAAGAATTTCTGTTTTTATATTAATAATTTTATTCTACATATTATTGGGCCAAACAGGCTATTTTTTATATATTTAATTACGGTTAATTATTTATACTTTTAATTCATTATTGAATTACAATTAATTAGGATCAATTAATCGAGTATTTTCATTTCACCATTAAGGTTCACGTAATGCTACCTGTCTCACACACTCTCTTGATATTTGTAGGGGACCTCACGGCATCAAGTCAGAGTGTATATAAACAGACATTCCTATCTATATAAATAGTTCACTCAATCTTTCTTTATATAGTTTTACAGGTGCTGGGGTAAGCAGCATTATATTTAAAGTCCGTGCAATATATAATATGAAACTTTTATATGGGTCAATGAAACCTTAATACAACTTTAGTTTTTTAACTTGTTTTGCTATGGCTTTAATACTTTATATTATATATGTCGCAATCTGCTCTTAATGTCAGAATGTTACTGAACACTAAATATAAACAAACTGTTTGAATATTAAACCTATGTTTGATATATTATGAGTATAAATGATGAAAAACATGATAATTTGGTCACAAATAATCAACACCGTGAAAGTGATGCTACATCAACATTATCATTTAAACGAACAATTTTTGGCCGACAAAAAACCTGTAAGTGTAAATAAGTATTATCTGTTACTATCTAATATAGGTATAGTATGTCTACGTGTTTATAAAAACGAAAATCGTGAATACAGTAAGTAATGGTTAAAACGTATAATGCAAGACCGTATTTACAAAAACTGTCGCCAGGAATAATATAAAATCGCCGCCCGAATATAGACAAAATTTAGATAAATTCAAGTTATTTAACACCTAATAAGAAAAAATTGAGAACTTTCCTTACCACGATCAGATTTCTTAATATTGTATAGCCTTTTCATTTTAAACTTTTGATTGTGAGTGAAATGAGAAAATGTTTTTAAAAACTTTAAGAAAAGGATTTCAGTCTTAACCAAATTTTATACAAAATTTCCATAGGTGGGAAATTTGTGAGGGTAGAGCAATTATAATCACTTAAATAAAATAGCATTGTAAGAAACACATAATTTTTTTTTTAAATACTTCACACAAAACTATAATTAAAATTAACAATTTTAATAAAAATAATAAAAATTTTTTGATAACAAATGTTAACTAATACATTTAAAAAAATAACACTTTCCTAATTCTGTCACTGACTAATGGTCATAGAGATCTGGACTCCATGATCCTCTATAAATATAACATTACCAGCAACCAAATTTATTATTGTATGTAATTGTAGTTAAATGTTTATGTTTAGTATCGGAGGCTACGATCTACAATCCGACTCATTCAGAACAACGTAATAGTAATAGAAGTAAGTCCCAGTATGAACAAATAAGAATTTATGAAAAAAACTTAAATTTTGACTCATAGTATTGCTTAGGCTCTATAGATAATATATATAGTTTTGCAAATGTATAAAATTTTTAAAATTGTAATCGTACTATCAATAGAAAAAGGACATAACTAAAAAATGAAAATTTAAAATAAACGGCTTAAAAATTAAAGGTTATTCCAAAGATCGAGTTTAAGAAGTGTTTCGAGGGTTGGCAGAAGTCCATAATATCTAATGGGAACTTTTTTATTAAAGACATAACATTAATGAAAACGAATAAATAAATATCTTTTTAAAAAAACGAAAATTCCCGTTATTTTCTGAACACACCTCGTACAAATACCATTGCTAAAAACATGTTATTTTTGTGTTAAAATTTTCGATTTTATATTTTCAACTTTAAATTGCTATAACTTTTTGAAAAATCTATGGATCAACACAAATTTTTGTCTCTAAATACTTTATATTATAAATATTATATATATTTATATATTATATACCCCTTTTATCCGACATACTTTTTTTATTAGATCGGACAATTTTCCCTCATACAGGCAGTGTTTTAACCTTGAAACATACGTATAAATAGTAGAACTTCTTTAACTTAACTTATAAAAATGTTCCGGTAATACTGTTTCCTTTAAATATATGTTAAATTAAAGCTGATGTTACGAACTATAAATTAAAAAAAAAAATGTTCTTAACGACCTATCATGTATGTGCAAAAGTTCGAAGTTGAACAAATAATGTAATTTTCGTATAAAAAATCAAATTCTATCGATATGCTATTTTATAACATAATTTGTAAATTTTCCATAACTTTTTGAAAAAAGAACGTACCAAAATAATTTTTTTTATATAAACACTTTCCGTATTTCCCTTTCATTTGATATACATTTTTTGTTTACATGTCCATTGGGGGTATTCAAAATAGCAATTTTTTTACGAGGTATTAACTTTTGCTTTTGTAATAATCTTCAATTTTTTAATGTTAAATACTATTACAGATTTGCATCGAAATCACTATTATTATTTTACAATTTTTTATTGGTTAACTTGAAAATTTAGTAATGTGATTTTTCGATGTTATAGTATTGGGAGTGATTAGGAAGATCAATCCCCTCTAAACAAAAAATATTTCTGCGTTACTATATAGTTCTATGACAAAATTGCATAAATTTGGCACTCTCCAAAATGGCTTAAATAAAGTTAATGAATGCATATAATTCACAGCCCTGGTAATGTTTGTGTGAAATATTCTTGATTTTTATATAGTAATAACATTTACTTTTTTTGACAAAATAAAAGTAAGCTTATGGAATTCTATTTCGGATCTTAATTAAGATATATATAGGGTGATTTTTTTTTATCATTACCCACTCAATTACCTACAGAATAAATATAATTTTAACATTTTTTTTTTGTTTTTTTTAGTTACACATTATTCTTGAAATATTAACTGTATAATGCTTTTTAAGTACATCCGTTATGTCTTGTAAGGGTGTCAACTTTGTTTTTTAAATAGGAACACATATTTTGGATTTAATAAAATGTTTGAGTTTTTAATTTAATAATAAATGGCATTTGAATTTTTAATATAACTCTATTTGTTTATTAGATATAAATATTTAAACTATCAAATTTTTTATTTAATATACATATATAATATACAAGGAATTTCAGATACAGGTTAGCTAATTGGTTTTTTATGACGTCGATATTCGCAAGTATACAGCATTTATTATCAATGGTAGTAAGGCGCATTTTTATGAGTTTATAAATACAGTAACTGACATTACAGAAAGTATATCTAATGATAGTCATAATTGATAATGAACACTCAGTGGCTGTGATAAAAGACCAATTAGCTGCCTGTGTTTGGAATCCCTTGTGTATTATACATGTATATTAACTCAAAAATTTGAAACTTTAAATGTTTTTATCTAATAAACGAATAAAGTTATATTAAAAATTCAAATGCCATTTACTATTAAATTAAAAATATATGTTCCCATTTAAACAAACAAATTTGGTACCCTTACAATGCATAACGGATGTACTTAAAAAGTATTATACAGTTAATATTTCAAGAATAATGTGTAACTAAAGAAAACAAAAAAAAAATGTTAAAATTATATTTATTCTGTAAGTAATTGAGTGGTTATGATGAAAAAATCACTCTGTAAATATTAGAAAAATGTTCACTATTTCGTCCAAACGAAAAAAATTATATTTTTACCATTTAATTTATTTTGTTTTAGGTATCCATATTAAACAAATCCACAGTACAAAAGCTTTTTTTTTTTAACATATTTTTTAACTTGTTAGACAATTATTATTATTATTTAAAGAGTTCGTCAACTATATCGATATCGCCGACTTTTTTCATTTTTCCCAGGATATCGATTATTTATGAAATATCGCAATAATCGAAAAAAAATGTTTAATAAAAAACTGCTTGAAATTTGGTCACTATGATATAAAATATATAAATTATTTAATATTAGACCAAAACATGATAATCTTGTTAATATTTTTTTTTGTATTAAAATATATATTGAAATATAGAATTGAGATAAGACAAAAAATGATATTTATTGATACAAAATTCTGTTCTTATATTAGGTTGTTTATTATGACATAGTCAGGGGCGTTATTTCAGTTTTTTTTTGGGTGTACGAGATTTCAAGTAGGCCATTTTGAAATTTCATCAGGCCATATAAAAATAAATATACCTACTTAAGTGAATTATTCTTCTTTTAATTTTTCAATAGATTATAAATCGCAATCAACATAATAAGTAAATAAAAATATAATATATAATAATACTTTTTTTTTCCTCACCTTAATCCCAACCACTTTCTCTCATCTTATCTACGATTGAGGCTACACCTATACTCCCTCTTAT